CCTCATTTCTTACCTAGCCTTAATAATCCCTGAATGGGCATTGCCTCAAACTGAGACCTCTTAAAGACCTTAGCTTGAAAAAGCCAAAGTGCCCCACTGCATCCTGGGCCATCTTCAGTTGTCCTGATCTATATCTGGCCACTGGACCCAGATGGCTCCGAAGAGAAAGTGAGGCTGGTGACTTTGTACAGCCCTCCCTCACTTACATCCAATTCACTTGCATGTCATGGCATCACCTTCTTGATGTCACTGTCCTCTTCAAGAGCAAACAATAAACAACAATATGGCCTAACATTGCCAAACCATTAAGCCAACATTATCACCTGATACTGCATCTCAGTGAGCATCACAAAATCATAGATTTAGAGTTGAAAAGAATCTAAGAGGCCAGCTTGTCTAACCTCTCATTTTATAGATAAGGAAAGTGAGTCCCAGAAAGATTAGCTTCCCCAAAGATACAGGTGGAAGAGGTGGGCCTTGAACCCTGATCTTCTGACTTTAAATCAGTATACCACAATGGAGGTCATCATCCTCTCACAGGAGGGACCAGCCACCCCAATACCATGGCCCTATATGAATTTTGCTATAAGCTGACCTTACAGAGAAGACATACTATATGGACAAAAGAGCTACTCATAGTAAAGGCCATTTTTGAGACACAGAGACACAATCTGGGATATGGGTTCTTAACTGTTTTTGTGTGCTGGATCCCTTTGGCACTCTGGTAAAACCTGTGGACCCTTTCTGAGAATAGTTTTTAAATACATAAAATAAAATACATAGGACCACAAAGGGAACCAATTATATTGAAATAACAGTTATCAAAAATACATGTGCATGCATGCATATATAGTGTAAGCATATGCAGGTGTGTATGTGTATTTATGTGCATATACATGTACAGTATGTACATATGCATACATATAACATACATAGCCATATAGGCCTACCTGCATATATGTACGTGTACATATATGCTTACATGTATACACACATACATGTGTGCAAATACACATGTATAATGCACACATGTACAAATTAATATAGATACTTATATTTCAATATAATTCTGTCCTTTGTAATCATATGTATTTTAAAACATTATTCTCAGAAGGGGGTCCACAGGCTTCACCAGACTGTCAAAAGTGTCTGTGACATCAAAACAGTTATTTATATATTCACTGATCCCCAAGTTAAGAACCTTTGATCTAGGAGAAATTTGCCACCATCTCATTGTCCACACTAGCCATTAAGGAACTAGGACACCTTCAGATGACCCATCATCAATAAATTTAGATTATCTGAGTGGTATTTTTAGCAGGCTGAATTTTTCTTACTATCTTATACATTTTAGAATCACACATATGTACTGTGGTGGAATCTAGAATTTGAACACCTTGGATATAAGCCACCTCAACAGGCCCTCCTACAGACCACGGATGTCAGAGCCACTTAGGCTTGGCTAGGCTTACCAAGTCTGATTCACCCCAAGCAGGTGCAGGAACCCTACACTCAAGGCTAAATTCTCTCCAAACTGAGGGTTTGGAGACCAATACACAACACATCAATCCAAAGGAAGTGCCTCCAATGGTTCTTTCACCCTGCTAGCACTTCTAAACCATTTCATCTCCCTGCTGTCAACCCCGTGGTAAGTAAGACTCCACCTCTGGTGGGGAGTCATATAAGACTATTCGAAATCTTATATATTGTCACCTGGAAATTTTGGTGTTTCTCTCTCTTTCTCTCTCAACCAAGGAATGTGTGGAAATCACCTTATTGACTCCTTTGCCAACTTCCTTCCACCCTGGACAGTTGTCACAGTAGACTTAATCACAGATTTGCCTCTTGCCAAGGAATATGATGTCATAGTGTGAGATAGGTATCAGGTGGTAGGTACTTTGACTAAGATAGCCCATTTCTTTCCCCTTTGATGAACTTCCTATCATAACCAAAATTACTGACCTGATACTGAAAGAAATGTTTTGTCTTCGACCTATATCACCTTCAATGAGAATTTCCAGTTTCTGTTTCATTTTTGGTCTATATTCACAAATCTCTAGAAAAAGAATCACTTTTTCCATGAGATATCACCCCAAGTCCACTGGAAAGATAGAACATATGAAGTGCAACCTTAAACTGTATCTTAGGTGTTATTGTTATTCAGTAGTTTTCAGTTACATCTGACTCTTTGTGACCCCTTTTGGGGTTTTCTTGGCAAAGATACTAGAGTGGTTTGCAATTTCCTTCTCTAGCTCATTTTACAAATGAGGAAACTTAGGGAAACAGGGTGAAGTGACTTGTCCAGGTCCCACAGCTAGTAACTAACCATATAGCAGTGAAGATAAAGTTTGGCCTACGCAGAAGGTAGGATCCTGAGCTTTCTTCTCCTCTGTCCTATCTTAGCCCATCCTCTTCCCAAAACTGGCCTCATGATCCATTCCCAGGTCCTCCTCAACCAAGAATACACTCCAGAATTCCTATTTATGGCTCTTCTGTGGTCTTAGGGCAGACTGCAGGTTGTAAACCAGTTCCAAAGAAGCAGCTTTGGTGCTACTACAAAAAGATTAACTGCTACCCCAAACTGTCCCTCTCTACCAAGCAATAAGGTTGGATTTGTATGTATGTCAGTATCAAAGATCACCTGGGAGCTGGTGATTCCAACTCTCCCTTTCCAACCAGTTGGGCATTCATTACTGTAGAGTGGTGAAAGTGAGTGTAAACAGAGACCTCCTAGTTCAGTGAAAACAATTCTTCCTTCAAGTCATAAAACCAATTCAAATATAATCCAGATGCTCAGTATTTTGGCCTACTGGGGTAACCCAAGCAGGATTGTTTAGTCACTGTTAAGTATCACTTTCCACAACAACAAAAATGACATAATAGCATTTTTACTATCTTTCTCAGAGAGTTGTTCTGAAGAATGCATCGTTTAACTTTAAAATACTACATAACTTCGGACTTTTATTGTGGAATGAAGAGGCCTCAGATTTTCTTCTTGGAAGGGCCTGGGCAACAGAGACTGTCCCCTCCTTCCCTCAGTTGGATTCCAAATCCCCTTCCTGTAGGCACTTCTTCCAAGAAAATTTTCAGAAATTGGAGGTCTACACTGGAGGTCCTTCCTGGACTTCTGGATCAGCATGAATAAAAGGATCTAGGAGAGCATGAGGAGCAAAGCTGAAGAGCCCTAGATCAGGGAGTTCTGAACTCTCAGACCCTACTCTCCTTTATCCCACCCCTCCCCCAACTCTTTTTACCAGCCCCAGAAATCCTAGGGGCAGCTAGGTGGTACAATGGATAAAGCACCAGGCCTGTAGTCAGGAAGATTTGTGTTCAAATATAGCCTCAGACACTTACTAGCTGTGTGACCTTGAGCAAGTCACTTAAGCCCTATTTTGCCTCAGTTTCTCTTCTATGAAATGGGGACACACTGGAGAAGAAAATGGCAAGGCACTCTAGTATCTTTGCAAAGAAAATCCCATGGACAACGTCCATGGGGTCACCTAGAGTTGGATATGACTGAACAACAATTGTCCTAAGATTTCCATCAGGTCCTTCTACCAGAGCTGCTGGCCCATCCAGAAGTCACCAGTGGAATGCTGAATTCTTGTGTGCAGATACTATACAAGAGATTCACCTAAAAGGCATCACTGAAGTATAGGACTCAGGGGTGGGGAACCTGTGGCCTCAAGGCCACGTGTGGCTCTCTAAGTCTTCAAGTACGGCCAACTGACTGAATCCAAACTTCACAGAACAAATCCTTTTATTAAGTATTTAGTGAACAAGGTGAGGAGATCAGTGCCCCAGGGATGAAGTCATATTTACTCTGAAGAAGAAGAATGAAATCAGTCTCAATCCAGAGGCCCCTTGGGTCAAGAAATTTATCTGTAGATATTTGGTCAATGGACCTAAGAAAGCTCACTAAGTTTCAGAGGAAAGATTACTGAACTTTGGAACTATAGGACCTGAGTTCAAATCTCAGCTCTACCTGTGGGATCATGACCTAGTCACTGAAGGGCAGCTAGGTGGCACAGTGGAGAGAGCGCTGGCCTTGGAGTAGGAGGCCCTGAGTTCAAATGTGACTTCACCTACTTACTAGCTCTGTGACCCTGGGAAAGTCACTTAACCCAGATTGCCAATAACAACAAGATGACCTAGTCACTTAACTTCTCTAGGCCTCACTTTCCTTGTCTAAAAATGAGGATGTTGGAATGGAGAGTTTCTAAATAAGGGTATTGGAGTAAGTGCCCTCTGAGTGCAACCTGAACCAGATTAAAATGTGATTGGGAAATTTTTAATGAAATTAAAACAGATGAAAATAATGAAAATAAAACAGATAATGTTAATATGTTTAAATAAGATATAATGTCCCTCTTTTCTATTTGAGTTTGATACCACTTCTCTAGAAGAATATCAGGATTTCTTAGAAAATTTTCCAAGTTCTTTGGAGTATAATAAATACTACAAGAAAATAGGTTTTCATCTTATGTGTCATTCCTATAGTGATTCATTGATTTGTTCTTCATAAAGCACCAACTTCAAGGGAGAATTGATCTGAATTAATAAAAATGTTTCTGGAACGTTTGTGAAAACTATAGCCCGCAGACAAAAGGCCTGGTTTTGTATGCAACCTCCTCCACCTAGATAGGAATGATTTTTAAATTTTAAAATAAAGTTTTCTTGCATTTGAAAATGTCAAAATCATTTTTAGTTCACAGGGCACACAAAACTAGGTGTCAGATGGGATTGGTGCTCTGTAGTTGTTTGCCTAGCCTCCACATAGAGTACTGATTTTTCTTCCTCACTTTTCAAGGTATTACTATTAATATAGTATGACACCTCAAACATTGAAATAAACAATAAAAGTAGGTAAAATAACTAGTATTTAGAAATATAGAATTGGTTGGCATTGGTTAGCATTATTTGCTGTTGACTGATATTAAATAGCAGGACTTTTGCTGTTGTTGTTCCTAAGAAATAATGAAAAGTCAAGGTACCTGTACCTGAAATTTCCATGTGCACTTGCATTTTGGAGGATAGTAGCTTGGGTAATATGGACTTGAAAATTTCCCTTCAAACCCAATGTTCTCCTTGGCTAATATTGTGCTCCCACACTCTGCCAAAAAAAAAAAATCCACAGAAATTAGATTTTTTTATAGAGACAAAACACAACAAATACTTTCAAGGCCAAAGTATTTATCATAGCACACACTAAATTTAATCAGTTCAGGCTTGAATTCTAATTTTGCTTTTAAAAGTAAGTTTATAGTATCTTAAGGACATAATATTTTGAGCTCACAGGCCCAGTATTGATTTCTTACAAAACAGGAGAGGTAGAAGGAACCTTAGACAACATCTGTTATAATATCCTCAATTTTGCTGTTGTTATTTAGTTGTTTCAGTCATGTCCAACTCTTCATGACCCCATTTGGGTTTTCTTGGCAAAGATACTGGAATAGTTTGCCATTTCCTTCTTCAGCTCATTTGATAGATGAGGAAACTGAGGCAAACAGGGTTAAGTGACTTTTCCAGGGCCACACCGCTAGTAAGTGTCTGAGGCCAGATTTGAACTCGGGAAGATGAGTCCAGTGAATAGAGTACCAGGCCTGAAGTCAGGAAGACTTATCTATATCTATATATCCATATACACACATACATGTATGTATGTGTGTATATATATACTCATATATTATGTATGTGTGTATATATGTATATACATGTGTGTATGTATATGTATACATATATACACACATATACACACACATATACACATACATATACATATTTAGATATAGACATTTATCCAGGATATATAGACTCATTTTAGTTAAATAAAACTATTGAAATGTCCCTCATTTTTGTTACAATCATTGTCCTTGTATGTAATAGAAAAATCCTCTGAATCAACCTTTTATATGTGTGATCTTGGTGAGGAAATGAGCCTAGTTCATTGAAGCAGGTCAGAACAAGAGTGAGCCATTAGCCTTTTTAGATTCATTCCATCTCCTGCCTGCCCCAGGAAAATGATCAAAATTCCTCTATGCATTTTACCCAGAGCACTTGAGAAACATGGTTAAAGTGACTGTGATTAAATAGTTAAACAAAGATTTTTTACACCTGATTATCCAAAGTCTTCTGTAAATTGGATTAATTGGAAAACATACATACTGATTGGTTGTGACTAAGGATTCAGGAAAGTTCAATGATCATCTTTCTACTTGTTTGTAGTATTGTAGACAAAGGGCATAAAAAAAATAAGACACACTCCTCCCTTCCTCCACCAGGAAAACATTACCATAGTTCATCATCCTAAGAGCTTTATTTGGATACAGAGATTGCACTTTTGATTTCCCCAGTAGAGGGAACTCCCTGGTGAGGACATTCCTTTTTCTCATACAAGTGGGCACTTTTCTTTGCAACCTAGAAAGAGTCCTGGAGCACTGAGAGGTTAAGTGACTAGCTGGAGTCATGCAGCCAGTATGAATCAGGGGCAGAAAGACCCAGGTCTTTCTAGTTTCCGGGCAAACTCTCGATCCAATACACCATACTGCCTTTCTTATACGTGATTATGCATACATTTAGATTTTACATATGCTTATATGTGATTCACATTTTTAAACATTTGATGAGAGACTTACTTTCTTCTGGAATGACCTCAAAATATCCCCGAATTCCTGACAACCTCCGCACTCGTGGTGATTTAAAAGTCACCAACATGAGATTGTTTGTTGAAACAAATGACATTAAGGATCTGGTAGGTTCACAAATTCTGAAACCAAATACAGAGCAAAGATATGAATAACAGATTATTGGACGATTAAGAGTTCAAAAACCAATCGCTCACTGTACAGGCTGTTCTAAAGTCTTAGGGAAGTTTTAAGTTACTAAGCTCAAAATTCTTCAGCTACTTCCTTCAGTCAGCCAATTCTTCATGACTCCATTTGGGGTTTTGTTGGCAAAGATACTGGAGTGGTTTCCCATTTCCTTCTCCAGTTCATTTTACAGATAAGGAACTGAGCCAAACAGGGTTAAGTGACTTGCCCAGGGTCATATAGCTGTTAAGTGTCTGAGGATGGATTGGAATTCAAGAAGATGAGTCTTCCTGACTCCAGTCCTGGAGCTTTATCCACTGCCCTACATAGCTGCCCCAGCTCAAAGCTACCCTAAGACTTTTAAGACACCCTGTATAAATTCTGTCAACTCCAAAATGGATATAATAGTACCTCCCCTGCTTATCTCATAGGTTTGCTGTGAAAAAAAAAAATGAATACTTAAGTTTGGGAGTTAAGAATTCATTATTTGGTCAAAATTGTTGGGAAAGCTGGAAATCAGTCTGGAAGAAATTGGGCATAGACCAATATCTTACACCATTTACCAAGGTAAGGTCAAATGGCTATATGACCTAGATATGAAGGGAGATATTACAAGAAAATTTGAAGACCATGGAACACGTTACCTATCAGACTTATGGATAGATGAATAATTTATGAAAAAACAAGAGATAGAGAGCAGTGTGAGGTTTAAATGGATAATTTCAATTACATTAAATTAAAAAGTACAAATAAAACCAATGTAGCTGAGATCAGAAGGAAAGCAGAAAATTGGGGGAAAAAATTTATAGACAGTTTCTCAGATAAGGTCTCCAATCTCAAATATATAAAGAATTTCGTCAAATCTATAAGAATACGAGTCATTCCCCAACTGATAAATGTCAAAGGATATGAATAGGCAGTTTTCTGATGAAAAAAATCAAAACAATTTATAGTCATATGAAAAAATGCCTAAATCATTATTGATTAGAGAAATGTAAATTAAAATAACCTTGAGATATCATTTTACACCTATCACATTGATTAAAGTGATAGAAGAGGAAAGTGACAAATGTTGAATGGGATGTGGAAAAATTGGGAGACTAATCCACTGTTGGTGGAACTGTGAACTAATCAAACCGTTTTGGAGAGCAATCTGGAATTATGCCCAAAGTTATTAAACTGCCTATACCCTTTGACTCAGCAATACCACTATTAGGTCTGTTTCCCAAGATGATAAGGCAAAAAAGAGAATAATTTGCATGTTCTAAATTATTTATAGCAGCTCTCTTTGTAGTGGCAAAGAACTGAAAACTGCGAGGATGCCTATCACTTGGGGAATTGCTGAAAAAAGTTGTATATGATTGTGATGGGATACTACTGTGCTGTAAGAAATGATGAGTTTGAAGATCTTAGAAAAACATGGGATAGTCTGGCATGAAATAATAAAGAGTGAAATGAGCAGAAACAAGAAAACATTGTATACAGTAACAGCAATATTGTTTTAAGAACAACTTTGAGTGACTAAGTCATTTGGACTATTATAAATGCCTAAATTAACTATAGAGGACCTATGAAGGAAGATACCATCTGAATCCAGAGAAAGAACTGATAAATAGAAGTGTGTATAGAATGGTTTTACATATATGTGTGTAAATAAATAAAATACAATATATTATATATACACATTGGTATAACATAATACTATAATTATATAACACTTAATTTTTCAAAACATCTTAAAATGATTTCTAGTTAACCTTAAAACTCTGGGCTCATTATTCCTGCCTTAATTTTGCTAACTCAACAGGTTTTTCTTGGCCTCCTTCCCCAGGGGTTTTTAAATCGGACATACATTAACCCTTCTAATCCTAACTTCTTCCAGTCCCACTCCCCTAAGGGACATAAGTTAATATGACCTCAGAAATATGGGAAGGATGGTTGCACAGTACCTTACAGTCTAGTGTGTAACACTTGAATGTTTTCCATAATGAATTTGTTTGTTATTATAATTTTTATTTTTGGTGAGGCAAATGGGGTTAAGTGACTTGTCCAGGGTCACACAGCTGCTAAGTATCAAGTGTCTGAGGCTGCCTTTGAACTCAGGTCCTCCTGACTCCAGGGCCAGTGCTCTATCCACTGCACTATGTAGCTGCCCTTTGTAATGAATTTCACTGGACCATGAAGCATCCCTATAAAGTCATCCATCCATTGGGCATTCCTTGGAATGGTATTCTACTGTACATATTTTTGACTGATGTATAATGTTATCATATTATAACAGACCATTATAATAAATAATCATTATGAGGATACTTTGTGATGTAGGAGAAACTTTACCTAGATTTAGATAAAAACAAAAATTAGACAAGAAAACTATTGGATTTCTCTGTATCCCTGCACTTAGCAAAATGTCTCACACAAAGCAGTCACTTAATAAATGCTTATTGACTTGAATTGATTTTAGATATGGCAAATTGTACCCTAGTTCTTGGGCATATCCCATAAGCACTGCCAGTAAAAATTGTCATTTCCTCTGACTGGTGCCTACTAATGGCATTTATGAGTGAGTCATAGCAGACAGAATATTAGACTTGGAGCCAGGAAGACCTGGATTCATATCTTGCCACTGGCACTTAGAAGCTATATGACACAGAGCAGGCCACTTTACTTGCCATTGCCTTAGTCTTCTCATCTGTCCAACGGGAGTAACAATACTTGTTGTATCACCTCACAGGGCTATTGTGAGCATCAGATAAGAAAATGTATACAAAGTACTTTATAATTTTCCAACCACCATATAAATATCAGAAAAACAACTTTGTGTAGTGGCCAGAGGATAGGCCTTGGAATTAGAAGACTGGGTTCAAATTCTACCACTGGCACTTACTAGTTGTGCGACACTGAACAAGTCATTTAATCTGCCTGAGCCTCAGTTTACTCATCTACAAATGGGGTCAATAATGCCTGTTGTGCTACTTCATAGGGCTGTTGTGAGCATCAAATTAGGTAATATATGTAAAGCGTGGTGCAAATTTCCAAGCATCATATAAATGACAGAGAGGTATTTGCATAGTGGCTAAAGGAATGGCCTTGGAGTCAGAAGACCTGTGTTCAAATCTTATCTCTGATATATACTGGTTGTGTGACCCTAGGCAGGTCACTTAACACCTCAAATGCCTCAGAAACTCTAAGATTAAGTGACAGAGCAGGAGGAAGTTTGTTCACCTGGCATCTCTTTATGCCAATAAAACCACAGGTCTGGACATGAATATCAGTTATAATGATGGTGATAATACCGATGCCAGGATGTCTTATCCTTTCACATAGAAAGATGTCCCTGCCCCCAATTCCCACCAAAAATAAATCCCAAGAGAATTAGTAAACAATAAAACAAAGGACATCTTATGAAAAACATCTGTCAAATCAGCAAATGTGGCTCCAAACTGTCTCCATACCGGTATAAGATTGTGCTCTTGATAGGCATTAGGGAGTCATAGATGGTCAGGGAGTCCGTGATGCAGTTGTCAGCTTCGATTTGTAAAGACACAACAGAGAGGCGGATGAGATAGCCGACCGAGGCAATCAGTTTGAAGTGGCACTTCAGGTGTCCCGAGGTAGCAGAAATCTCCAGGGGAAAATGCTGAAAGGGATGATCTGCATATAAGTCCTGAGCACAGCCTTTATCTGTGAAGACAGTACAGATTACTTGAACACCAGAAAGTGAATTTCCTGGTGGCCTGTGAACAGAATGGGTCAATAGCAAAAGGAATTATTATTCAAGAAAAGAAAGGATGTAGTGAAAAAGAGATTTGGGAAATCAAGCATGAAACTGTTTACCTATTCCAATAGCTGAAGAGTAGTCAGACCTGAGCCCAGCTGCATCAAGAAAACAAACAGAAAACAGTCCTTTAGAGTCAGCATTTCCATTCAGGTTGATTTAATCAAGGGAAATCTTTCTAGTCCTTTAGAAAAAGAAGTACCAAACAAATACGATAATCAGAGATAATGCCATAATCAATGCCGTTCTGTATAAATGCCTACAAATTGAGTTTAAGAATTTTCCACTGTAGATTTTAATCCCCACATCATGAGGAAATGGAGTGTGCAAGTTTCTATAGAAGCTAAACTGGCCTCTTGAAGGAGTTTGGAATCTAATAGAGATATTGCCAGTTGTCAAATTGATAAGGATAATTGGGGTGTATGGTGGAAGGAACAGGGAAATGTTGTAATACTAGATAATTTGAGGGGCAGGGGAGGAGGAGGCAAATGTTGTCCTGACTTGTCTCTACAGGATTCTCAGATTGTCCTTTAAAATGAATGGCCTGAGAAAACATGGAGCCAAAATGAATACAGGAAGAAGAAAAATAAGCTTCAGTAGATTAGACGTTGGCCAGGAGCCTCTATGTTTGCAGTCTGGTCCAGTCAATGCTGTTCAATCACTACATGCATGAAGGCCAGTTGCTTCACTAATTTATACCCCATTGTTCTTATCTGAACTTTCTTTATTGAGAGTGGGGAACATTAAGTTCATTAAGATGTTGCTGTAACCAAGAGCAAACAGCAAAGCTTAAAGGAGAAGGACGCACCATTTAGTACCACAGAATCCATATCGATAGCCAAGCCCTGCAGGCTCCCCACAGAGGTCCGGTTCACAATGCTTGTTTGAATAGAGTCCTTCAAGACGGCTGCTACACATTCTTCACAGAAAACCTTGGCGTGTGGCACCACAAAAACAAGCCAAAAGTGGACAAGGAGACCGCCCTCATTATTGTTGCTGAAGCAAAGAAATAGAGATGTTCAGGGAAACCCTAAAGAGACAGCATTTCAGGGGGAAGCTGGGGCACACACTAATAGTGTCCAGACATAAATATGAGATGTCTTTTAAATAGGACTGGCTTCCCGAAAGCAGATCATAAAACGAGGAAAGATTCTTGTTTTGTGCATCATGTTCTCTGTGGGGGTAGGGGGGAGGGAAGAGATTATGATATTTTCAACAGATGGTGCCCAATTTGATAGCCAAATGAGTGAGATCATAGGAGCCAAAAGGGACCTTAGAAGCCATTGAATCCAATCTCCTCATTTTACAGCTGAGGAAACTGAGGCTTAAAAAAAGGTGACTTGTCTAGGGTCATACAGTTATTAAATGTGTAAGACAAGATTCAAACTCAAGCCTCCCTGACTCCAAGTCCAACACTCTGTATTTCAATAAACATTCATTAAACACTTAATATGTCCAGGAAACCGTTTTAGGAAATAGGAAGTGCAAAGAAAATAGTGAAATAATCTTTAGCCTTAAGGAGCCAACATTCTTTGAGAGGAAATGCTACATATACTTGGCTAAGTAAAAGCAAAGTGTGTACATACATATATATGTGTGTATGTATGTATGTGTGCATATATTTGTTTATACACACATATACATATATAGAGAGAGAGAGAAAGAGAGAGAGAGAGCTAACAACTGGTAGGGAGTGGCTATTAGGAAAGCTTCATGCTATATGTGGCACATGCTCTATACTTTGAAGGATGTCAGGGATACCACAGGGTAATTAGATGGCACAATGTATAGAAGGCTGGACCTAGAGTCAGGAAGACCTGAGTTCAAATCCAGCCTCAGACACTTACTAGCTGTGTAACGCTGGATAAGTCACTTAATCCTGTTTGTCTCAGTTTTCTCATCTGTAAAATGAGCTGGAGAAGACAAAGGCAAAGCACTGCAGTATCTTTGCCAAGAAAACCTCAGATGGAGTCACAGAGAATTGAAACACTACTGAAACAACTCAACAATATACTAACATCAGACCACAATGCACATAGGTTTAGGGCACATAGGTTACTGCAACAAGCTGAGACACACCAAGGCAGAAAGAACCTATGAATGATGCAAATTATGACCAGCTTAAGATGTTACCTGACATCTGCAACCACAGACTTCTTATAAAATTTTGAGAAAGCAGATGTTGTGTATACTAGGTTCATCTGAAAAAGAAAAGTCAGGATGCCAGATTAGGTGGATTTGTATTCAATTGTAGTTGATGAGCACAAAGCCTTTTAAGTTTGGTTGCCTGTAGAAAAGTAGTTAAAAAAAATCACTGAGTGAACAAGTGTTCGCTCATTTAATAGGTCTGGATTTTGTATTTTCAGTCAAACTGGTGTCTACAAATAATATAACCAATGCCTTAGAATCCCTTTTCATTAATTCATTTCTTTGTTTTTTCAACTAATCAATAAATATCTATGGAACATCTGTTACATATGTGCAAGGTATGCATTTAGATGCAGGAAAGGAAGATGCACAACCTTTAGGAAAACCACTAGCATTACCCTCCTACCTGTATGTGTCTTTGTATTTCACAAGTGGTGTGAAAGCCAACGGGAGATGTCTTAAAACACACTGAGGTCCTCGGAGAAGGGCCATATGAAACCAACCATTTCTTTATAGAGGTCTTCAGACTTCACTGAGTCAAACATCCTGCATCCTAGAGCTCCTTGGCTCCCTTCATTTGCCACTGATTAGTACTGGTGTTTAGGAGAGGACAAACATGAAGTCACACCTCAAATTTCAATTCTGGTTCAATCTCTGTACGTGTGACATGAGGTACACTTGTATAAATAGCCTCTTCATGGGGCCACCCTATTTTCATAATGTTTCAGGGTCAGCAAGAGAATCAGTCACTGTTTTCAGGAGAGTAGAAAGTCAAACCGAAGAAGAGGGAGAGGAAGGAAATAAGCATTCTATAATGCCTACTTTCCAGGGCAGGTAGGTGGTACACTGTATAAAGTGCTTGTGCTGGAGTCAGGAAGACTCATCTTTCTGAGTTTAAATCTGGCTTCAGATATTTACTAGTTGTGTGACCCTGGGCCAATCACTTAACCTTGTTTGCCTCAGTTTTCTCAGCTGTAAAATGAGCTACAGAAGGAAATGGCAAACCACCCCAGTATTTTTGCCAAGAAAACCCCAAATGGGTTCATGAAGAGTCAGAAACAACTGAACAACAAAAGTACCTACTGTGTGCCAAGCACTGTGCTGAGTGTTTTTTAAAATAAATTTTATCTCATTTGATACTTACAACAACCCTTTGAGGTAGGTGCTAGTATTGCTACTATTTTACAGTCAAGGATACTGAGGCAAGCAGAGGTTAAGTGATTGCATAGGGTCACACAGCTAGTAAGTGTCTGAGGCCAGATTTGAACTCGGGCTTTTCCTGATGCCAGACCCAGTGTTCTATCCACTGCAGCACCAGTTGTGCCTAAGAAGAGAACAGTGGGTAGAAAGAAGAAAAACTGCTATGTAATAGAGCCCTGTGTGCCATCTTCCCATCTTTCCAGGATTTGACAATTATTTATAAATTCATTGACCCCCAACCCATCCCATTCTGCTAGACTTGGAAGACTGATGGGGTGAAACTCTAGCACTCTTGTGACATTGACCCCATCTTTTCCAGGAAGGTTCCAGCCAGGGGAGAGAGAGAGAGCAGGAGGAGGAGGAGGAGGAAAAGAAGAAGAAGAAGAAGAAGAAGAAGAAGAAGAAGAAGAAGAAGAAAGAGAAATTGAAGAAATAGCCAATAGGAGGGGAGGAGAGGCTAGAGGGGGAAGAAAATGGGAGAAGAGAGAGACAGAGAGAGACAGACAGAGAGATAGAGACAGAGAGAGACAGACAGACAGAGAGACAGACAGAGAGATGATTAATTATTTAGTTAGTTAAGAATTTCCAGGACCGAGGAGGAAACTTTAAGCTAGAAAAAGAAAACAAAAAGACTGTTGTTGTTGTTTGTCTTTCATTCTCAGAGGACTATGACAGCAGGGAGGTGATGCCATGACATACAAGTGAATTGAACTTAAGTGAGAGAGGGCTGTGCAAAGTCATCAACCTCACTTTCTCTTCTGGAGCCATCTGGGTCCAATGGCTAGATGTAGATCAGGACACCTGGAGGTGGTAGATAGACAAGAGGCAGCCTTAACAAAGGATGATAGGATTAAAGCTCTAGAGCTGGCAGGCACCTCAGAGACCATCTACTGCAATCCCCTCATTTTATAGATGAGAAAATTGAGGCCCAGGGAGGGAAGGTGACCTGTCTAAGGCCGCACCAGTAGCAGGCTTTAAGAAGCAGGACAGGAATCCAGCCTCCCTGACTCCACACTCAGTGTTTTGCTTTGTTTTCTCCCATGGTACCATGATGTCATCATCCTCTTCACACAATTGTTATATCACAAGAAAATAACTAAGCTTTCTACAATACTTCTCAGTCCCTATGCTAACACCCAGGCAAGAGGGCCTGCAGCTTGTTGTGTTGTGCCGTGCTGACACCTACCGATATGCATAGAGGAGGTAATTATACTTGGTAGAAGATGGGAGTCTTTTCAGCCAATGCATTTTTCTGGTATTTGGTTCACATTTTATTTTAAGTAAGTTTCTCTTCTTGCACAAAATATTAAATCAGTTAGTACAATTATTTAACATCAGATCATTTGGTTCAAATGCTTGCTTTACCTCTACACTACCTGTGTGACTTTGGACAAGTCATTTAATGCCTCTGGGCCTCAGTTTTCTCAGATGTAAAATGGAAAGATTAAACTCAATGACTTCTGAGGTCCTTTCCAGTTAAGCAGACTATAACAGAAATATTGTATTCAGTTCTGGGCACCACACTTCGGGAAGGACATTGACAAACTAGATCGTGTCAGGGAAGGATGTCAGAATGCTGGGACAACTAGAAAGCATGCAAGATTCATTTGAAGGAACTCAGGATGTGTTTCCAGAAGAGAAAATTCTGGGGGAGGCAGGAAAAAATTTAACACCTGTCTTCACGTATTTGAAATGGTGTCATATGAAAAATGGATTAGACTCATCCTGCTTAGCCTCAAAGGATAGACAGCATGAAACAATGGAAAGGGTGTTGGGTTTGGATTCAAAAGGCCAGGATTTGAATCGCAGTTCCACTAGATGATATCTTTGACCTTGGGCAAGTCACTTAACCATTCTAAATCTCAGTTTACTAATCTGTGAAAAGAGGGCTTGGATAAGGTGATCTCTATTGTTCTCTTCACCTCTAAATCTATCATCCTATAAATAAGGAGCTGTGGCTACAAGTTGAAGAGAGGCAAATTTTCATTCAATTTTGTTAGGAAAAGATTCCTCACAATCAGAGTTGTCTAAAAGTAGAATCGGTTGTCTAAAGATGCAGAGGATATTACTAGAAGATTTTCAGTTGGAGACTGGATGACTACTTGTCAGGGATATTGGAAAATAGTTTCTTGTTTAGATATATATTATACTAGAAGATCTCTGAGATCCCTTCCAACTTTGAAGTTCTATGATTCTGTAACAATAAGTCAATGTGAAATAGGACAGATCCATTAGCATTTTATAGTTGTCTATTCTCACCAGACATGATAATAAAGTCACCACATCTGGGCAAAACCATCTCACTACTCAATGTGCTTTATAAATAAATGCTGTTGACATGTAAGATGAATTTAGGACCGACAGCTGGTTATGATCAAACACATACAAAAGACCACATAAAAAAAAAAACACATACAAAATTTTTAAATACTCAGGATCCATTTTCATCAATCTTCAATTTTAAATGGAAAGATTCCCAAAAAATGGAAAAGATCAAAGGTGGTACCTTTATAAAAATAAATAAATTGAGGATGAAGGTATTGGCTTAAAGACCTTTCTCATTTCTATAAAATCTTTGGAGTTAAAGACTGGTTTGGGAACTAGTTTTCTTCACAGTACTGCTCTATAAATGGAAATCATAGAACACTGTGATCTCAGAAAAATACAAATTTTCAGTTGAGCCAAAAGACAATAGAAAATTATATTGTGGGTGTACATAGCTTGCAATATATTACCAATGATAAATTTGGGTGTCAAGAATGACATGCTTTATCAGAAAAGAAGGTGAGCCCATTGGATAGTGAGAGGGAAGGATAACAGATGGACAATCTTAATGTTGCACTAGTGCCTACAACATATTAAAATAATCAAAGGAAGGCCTAAAGCTTAATGAATAATTTATAGACACACATGGACAAAAATCACAGTAGACAAGAAATCATAGAATGGTTGTGATCTACTCTGGTGGAAGGAAAACTCACCCTGATTAGGTTCCAGATCCCTATAAGAATTCAGGAATTATGATTATCATTCTTGTCAAGGTCTCTGAGGCTCCTTCTCATAAAGTTCTCTATCATGCCTATGATAAGCTGGTAAAGGCTCTTTTAAAAAAAAAGGTGAATCTACCTCTCTGCCTCTAAGTAGGATTACACATAAACCACCATCAGAATCAATTGGGAAGTAGGTTTTACAATCTCCCTTCCTAATATGTCCCAGTTCTTAACAACAGTCCCTGTGAAGACATTCTCCCTTGGATCTGTTAGTTCTCACTTCATGTGGCATCTTTTCAGACTATTTGCTTTCTTTTTGTCCCCAAAGGAGGATAGCCAATAATCAGTCATCTCCTTCCACATGATAACTTCTTATCTCATTAAAGGCTCCTGATCAAGCTTTACTTCTCTTTCCAAGGTTACCTTCTTCTGAGATGAATATGCCAGGCTCCATTAACCCATCCTCACAGTCCTTTTTACCAGCCTCCAAGTATAAAAGTAGCAGTTAAATGAGGGGTCTGCCTATGATTTCTCTGGTAAAATGGTCAATGAGAATGATATTCCACTATTGACCATTAGGTGGCAGGTAGCATCCATAGTTCAGACTCCAAAGGCATCTGACTTATTAAAGAGAAGCTGGTTATTGTCCGTTTCTTTTTTTCCCTACAAGGATAAAGATTTGACCTTTAGGTTCATTGTTATAGAGAACTTCCAGGTGAGGAAACTCCCTTTCTCCATGCAAATTAGCACCTTTTCTGCAACTTATTGCCTTGGAGACTTACCTGGAGCACTGAGAGATTGTGACTTTCCCAGAGTCACAAAACTAGAATGTGTCAGAAATAGGACTTGAGAGGGGCAGCTAGGTGGTGCAGGGGACAGAATACTGGCCCTGGAGTCAGTATGACCAGAGTTCAAATCTGGCCTTAGACATGTAACACTCACTAGCTGTGTGACCCTGGGTAAGTCACTTAACCTCAATTGCCCTCACCAAAAAAAAAAAAAAAAAGAAAAAGAAAAAGAAAAGAAATAGGACTTGAATGCAGGGCTTCCTGGCTTTGTTATCAGCTCTCTGTTCAAATCCAGCCTGAGATGCTTACTAGCTGTGTGACCCTGGGCAAGTCACTTAGCCCTGTTTTTCTCATCTGTAAAGTGAGCTGGAGAAGGAAATGGCAAACCATTCCAGTATCTTTGCCAAGAAAACCACAAATTGGATCACAGAGAATCAGACATAACTGAAAAACAACTGAACAACAGGCAACAACAATAATTTGTCTCAGAGGATTGTTATGAAAAGAATGTTGTTAAACCACTATCTAAATATGAGTTATTAGTGTTCCATATATGAGAGACATCCAGTTCCTTGTTGGATATCCTGTTGCAATTTTATCCATCCTTTTGCCTCATGCTACATAGTTGGAATAGACAGAGAAGGCTGGTGTCAAATAGAAGAAGAAGTTTTGAAGTGGAAAAGATGAAGAATTAGAGACAATGGCAGCGAAAGTGACAGCACAGACATGCTTTTTCAAAAGCCTCTAGAACACTTTACTTCCAGTTCTAATGTAGGCCACTAGTTTTGTGGTAAGTTTTACTTTACTGGGAGACTGCTTTACTGGGAAGTGGGAAGTATAGATAACACAAGGCACTAAATTTCTGGATTAGCTATCTCTTTTCTGCTCTGCAGCTGAGAGGCTGAAGAGGAAGAACCAGTGTGAAAGGAGGAATTTTGTCTAGAGGGTGGAAATGGAGAAAGAATGGTGTTTCATGAGAAATGTGTCCATTGGTTTTAATTTTACCATGCTTGCAGGTAACCTTGAGGATGGTAACTGGCAGTCTGCTGGATTTATAAAGGAGGGGATGTGGCCAATGGGAAAGGCAGAGGCTCAAAAGTGACACATCATGATTTAATCAATCTATCAACCAACAAGCATTTATTAAATGCTTATTATGTGTTAGGCACTGTGCTAGACACATACTTCCAGATAAAGAGTTTTGGTACATAGAAATAGGGGCACAGTGCTGGGTGATTAACGGCCACCTGGCACAAGGCTCAGATTACTGACAGGTCCTATGTATCAACACCACTACAGAAATAAGTAAATCGAGCTTCAGAGATGTGAAGTTACTTAACTAAAGTCACATACTAATTCATGCCCAACCTACAACTAGAAAAAAAAAAAGTGTTGGGACTTACCATCCAATATTCTTTCCACTATATCTCGTACACGATCTGATGTTTCTATCAGCTTCCTATTACACTTCCCATCTTTTTCCATCATTATATCTATTCATATCATCCACATAAGGTTATATCGACTGAGAGGGGGCTTGTAGTGGCAACTAATGTTTCCTAGTCCCATCTGTACCTTAGGCAGCAAACTAGATTACCCATATTCCAAACATGGAAAATACTTGCTTTCTGCCCCTCCAAAGGTGAGTGATATTTATTAAATCTATGTTAATAAAAATTTTAATGATCTAGAAAGGAAAATACAAAGTAATTCAATTCAATTTAGCACTATTAAATATCTACTATATACAGTTAGCTTGAGTTGATGAATGGATTATCCATAGTATGTTTCCTGTCTCTATCTAATTGCCAGTGCTTGCTGCTGGCAATAAGCTCCCCAGCATGGGGAAAGAAGAGAGAGTAAAGATGGCTGACTTAAAAAATACTAGTAGCTCTATATTAACTTAAACCAATGACCTGTACATCCCAGTGGCGCCAAAGGTTGTGCGGGGGAGAGATATGTGAATTCGCTCCATTACAGTGATAAGCAATCCTGAACTTTTCCTTGTAAATTAAGGTTCTACCTTCTGCGTATTTGTTTTTGAATTACAATTTACTGACTCCTATGATTTAGATCTGGAAAGGACTTTTTTGTTGTTTAATCGTTTTAGTCAAGTCTGACTCTTTGTGACCTTATTTGAGGTTTTCTTAGCAAAGATACTGGAGTCGTTTGCAATTTCCTTCTCCAGCTCATTTCACACATAAGGAAACTAAACAACTTGCCCAAGGTCACACAGGTAGTGACAGAACTCTCACTTAAACCCAGGTTAAAATGCAATTTACTTTCTATTGCATCACTCTGCTTTCATCCATTAAATCTATATACATTTTTTCTTGAATATTCACAAAATTCCTGCCTCTGCCATTTCTTGGGGTTAGAGAAGCACACGTATATGTGTATATATATATATATATATATACATATACATATATCTGTGCATATATATACAATTTCTACTACATCAAATGGTGCTTGCTTTTATTTGTATTAAGAGGATTTTTTTAAAAAGAACTCCAAAGTCTTCCTCTTACTTACAGCATTCTAAGAACTAGTTAGTGTCTCCCTATAACACACCTTTCATAATTATACATATTTTTATTATATCTTCTCTCAATATTCCTCTTTATGATGGAAGAGCCCTATTCATGTTTGTGTACTTCAGAAATAGACAACTTAACCCTGTGCAGCACTTGACTCTATCACTTCCCCACCATTTGTACCTCTTTCTTTTTCTTTTCCATTCTTTCCTTTCCCTTTTCTCTCTTTTTTTTATCCTTCCTATGATTTCAGAGTATACTTCACATCCTGTGCTGTGTATGTTCTTATGGAAATGTCCCCTTGACCATTTTAACTGACCTGCTCTGACATTTTTCTAGCCAAAAAGCTGCCTTTTGGGGAGTGTCCTTAGGTACCCCCAATGCTTTAAGGACATACCTAAAAGTAGAAAAATTATATCAATGGAGATTTCTTCTTGAATAATCCATAAAATAAGGGAATTTTAGTGTATAGTTTTAAAGGTCCTTTCCAGTTCTGATGTGCATAGATTTTTATTTTAACAACCTATATTTCTCCTGCTCCCAGATTTAAGTGGTCTATCCATTTTGGCCACACTCATTTTCTGGGACAAAGCATTTTCATTTCACTTGTATTCAGTGCTCCTAGAGACATCATTATAACTTGGGTAGCAAAACCTAGCTTTAGGGGAATGGGACAGAGCTCAGAACAAGGCCTGTAACAAAAATGCAACCAAAACTGTTTCTGAAAGATCTCAGCACAGACTCCTCCTTTAAGAGAATGCATATGGCTTGCCACTCAGTGGTAGTATCAGGTACTGCCACAAGATACCAGACACCAGTGGAGAGAGACACACAAACACAGACACTCTCCCCCAGCCATCTCCCTGGTGGTTAATACCTAGAGAAAGAGACGCCAACAAAGGACCTGTGACAATACATTTCTCCTACAGAAATTCAGACAATACAGCAGTTTTCTCACACCCCAGAGGCTCACCCAGATCTTACTCTTTTACTGTGAGCAGTATAAACCACCAAACCACGAAGGTTATCCGATATATTTCTCCTTAAATATTCCTAATGCCTTCCCCACTCTGTAGCAACAGGGACTATGGTGCTATCCACAGTCACAGTGCTGAAACAGCAAATTGCTTTCAGCTGACCATGGTGCTGGCAATCTGATTGTGCTACAATTCAATCCACTTATTCTGTAGAAGCGGTTCCTTTATTTACTTCTATTTCTCTTTTTGTCTACTAAGCTTTAGAAGTTCAATTTTGCATTCATTCTTAACACAAGCCCAAGTCAATCCATTATTTTTCACCCCATTACCTCATTCCCTGAAACCAGATTGATGCTGGCTCCAGACTCTTCTGGTGTTGATGGGGAAAGGGAATAATAGTTATTCACATTATTACTCACCTCAACCATATACCTATGGTTCAGTATAGAATGCCTGCATATTAAATAACCATTACATGAAGCAAGAAGAGAAAAGTGCATGTTCTAATTCATGTTTTTATTTTTGTTTGGGTTTTTTTTTTTTTTTGCTTTTTTTTTTTAGTGAGGCAATTGGGATAAGTGACTTGCCCAAGGTCCCACAGCTAGTAAGTGTCAAGTGTCTGAGGTTGGATTTGAACTCAGGTCCTCCTGACTCCAAGGCTGGAGCTCTATCCTCTGCGCCACTTAGCTGCCCCTCTAATTCATGTTTGTTAGAAAAAGAAATGTTTATTTCTAGCTGGTAGAGAGTATATATAAATCCAACTTTTTATAGATGCTACCTTAATCCTACAAACCTTCTTTACTTCCTGAGCTACAGGAATTCTATAATTTCTGCTGTATTTTCTTACCACTTGCTGCACATTTTGTGCTACTGAAAGGAATTCCCTTGATTCCTTCTGCCTATATTCTGGGAGAAATTCGATGTTGGCGATACGGAACAGCCCAACAAAGTAAAAAGCATCCTTGCTTTCAGCCTGGCCTGTGAAACAAAAAGAAGACAATTAGGTGGCTGCATCACACTAAAGTAGTGTCTGATTTATGCCAGCATTGTGCTTATGAATTCATTGTTTTTAATGACAAATAAATATTTCACAAATAAATATTGTGCTCTAGGTAGTTAATATCATGTCTTTCATGAGTAGTAAATGATGGCACCCCTGAGAATATCCTTTTCTCTTTTGACAGATCTATTTAGAATAAGGTAAAAATATAATTTTTGCAATTCATGGACCCCCTGAAGTTGAAGTTGTTGGGGAGTAAACAACATATGTGGTACACTCATAAGGAAAGCCAAGTGGGTGGAGAGTGAGAGGTTTATAGTGTTAGAGATCTTGTGATGGGATCAAAGTAAAAGCAAAAGAGGACCACAAACTCCTGGCCTTTGTTCAGAGTGATATGCCCAGCCTTCAGTCTCAAAGGCTTGTCCCCATGCCATTTGCAAAAGTACTGCATAAGGGATAAAAGAACAAGTAATTTAGAAGACCTAAATCTGAGTCCTAGATCTACTGTTGGCTAGCTATGACCTTGGAAAGCTCACTTTACGTTTCTGGGACTCAGTTTCCATATATGTAATATAAGGGACTTGGACTTCATGACCACTAAGGTACTTGCATATCTAATGACCTACAGTTCTAAACTGACCATCCTTTAGAAAGAAATGTAGCAGAGTAACAGGAACAGTAACAGCCATTGGTCTATTTTTCAAAATACCATTTTCCATGCAAGTGGTCATCTACTCTGCCTACTTGTAAGTCTGACTTTGCCCAAATTTTCCTAAAAAATGTAGTCAGTATAACTTAGAAGCAGAGTACAGGACTAACTCTAACTTTATGTAAAGATTGCTCATTGTATTCCCTAATATGTCAAGGTAAAGAGGATTCTGGGTTTAATGAAATCTTCTGAAGTAACTTTCAGAAACTTATTTGGTGGCAACATTCTTCAATGGGAGTGTCACAGTGGGAAAACCAGCAGGGCCCAGATATCAGGTTACCTGGACTGACCCCTTATCTCCAAGCCATATTTCCTCTAAGATCATCCTTGGATCAGAAATTTACGCCACTCTCACCTCTTGCCCAGAGGATGATAATTAAATTGAGATCTGAGCTGGTACCTGGGAAAAAACTGTCCTTGATGAAAAGGAATTATAAATAAATCAACTGCTTCAATCTTAACTATCCTTAGAGCAGACACCAAATGTCTCCTCAACTGGCCACCCAGCACTGCTCTGTACCACCAGACCCCCTGATCATCCAGACTAGCCCAGTCCACAGTCTTGTTCATCCTGACAAGGGGACGAGAATCAAATCACCTGCCTAGCTGGGGTCTAAGACACAGCCCTCTCTTCCTCCATCCCCACCCTGTACAGAAAAAGGATGTATTGTCAACTCATATTACCTCCATTTTCTCACCTCTGCCTCACTTCTCAATCCATTAAAATGTGGTTTCTGACCCCACTACTCAATTGAAACTATTCTTTCCAAAGTTGACAATATTCTCTTAATTGCTAAATCTAATTGCCTAGTAGGCAGCCAGATGTTAAAGTGAATCAAGCACTAGACTTGGAGTTAGGAAGACCTGAGAGCAAATCCTGCTTCAGATGCTTACTAACAGAGTGACCCTGAAATGGCTACCTTACAATATTACGAAAACGTTGGTTATTATTATTGTATGTCTTTGCTTTTTCTCAGTATTCATCACTCTTGACCTTTCTACAGCTTTTGACATAGGTGACAACCCCTTCCTTCTGGACACTTTCTCCTCCCTAGGTTTTTATAGCATTGCCCTTTCCTGGTTCTCCTACCTGTCTGAACACTCCTTCTGATTCTCCTTTGCAAAATTATTTTTCATCTCTTAACTTCTGTGCATAAAGGTACCTCAGGACTTCATTCCTGGTTCTTTATTTCTTATTTCTCTCTAAATTTTCTCTTGGTGATCTCATCAGTGACTATGGATCTCATTATGATCTCTACACAGATCCTAGATCTATATTAGTAACCTTCATCTCTCCAATGAGCTTTTTTTCCAAGTAGTGCTTTATCCACTATGCCATACTAGTTCTCTAATACTTTAATACCTTGTTTCTATTAAATGTTCTAATAATCCTTTGGTTGTCACTGCCTTTGCATTCCTAAGTCAAAACTTGACCTCCAGTCCTTAAGTCCCATAAGATAAACTAGAAGCAGAAAAACAAAAACATAGAACCTTATAAGAGAAACAAGACTTCATTTGTATATGAGAGGAAAGCTGGCAAGTCTTTTTGCTTCATGCATCCTATAAACTGGGGTTATACACTGTGCTTCACTGGGGTTGGGTCACCAATTGGCATAAAATTTTGGAACCCTACAAGCCAGATTAGGACTTTTTTTTTTGGTTCAGGGAAGCATTTGAAAGAAGTAGCAGCTGTTCTTAATTTCACTGTTGATGATTCTGTCATTTGTGACTTCAAATACCCTTCAATAAACTGGATTCTACAAGGCGTGTTTGGTGTGGGAGCTCTTCTAATTTTTCTCAAATAGTGGACACTGGTTTATCTAAAAACAAACAAACAAACAAACAAAAAACCTCACCCCTTTGCTACCAAATGGTGGAAAAAGTAAACAGGAGAGCTTGATTCCCTCTCCTGCCTCCCAATAAGCCCTTGTGAACCACCAATTGTCACATACCCCCAATAGAAATTACTTTGTATTTGCTTTATATACAGTGTCCCCAAAGCCAGTGTAGTTTTAAACTACCCCAAATGTCTTAGTGAAGTTTTAGCATTTGAGAGCTTAATACTACGCAAAGATTTTGGGGCCACTCTGTATATTTTTTCAATACTTATCTGTGTCTATGTTGTTTCCCTATCTCCATCTTGATACAATCTAAACTCCTTCAGAGCAGGAACTGTTTAGTTTTTGTTCTTATTGTACTAGTGCTTACTGTAATGCCTAACACCTGAAATTATAGATGAACTGTATACTAGGAGCTTAATGAATGCTAGCTTAATTAAATTGAATTGAAAACTTTGAGAGACTTGGAACAACTAGCTGATTAGATGCAGAAATAATAGATTTCTTTTCTGCTCTAGCTTTCTCCAACTTTTCTTTGTATCTCTAATGCTTAGCATAGTATTTGGCACAAAAATTGTTTTCTTTAAAAAAATTATTGATAGTATTTGTTGTTTGTAGCATCACTATAATTTCCCCTGATGCCTCTTCTCTCATCCTTCCCAGAGAGTCATTCTATATAACAAATGGTATTTTAAAGAGGAAAAAAAGAAGAGGAAAAAAATCAGTTTAACTGATTAATATATCAAAAATAGTCTGAAAATATTTGCAATACATAACAATCATGGACCTCCAACTTCCATAAAAGGGTTAGGTGGGAGTATCTTTTCATACCTCATTTTTTGAACCATGTTTGTTCTTAGTAATTTTGTAACATTCACTTTTAATTTTTTTGTGTATGATTGTTCTTTCTGTTTACATTATTGTACTTATTGTCTATCTTATTTTCTTGGCTGTATTTACTTCATTCTGCATCATTTCATGTAGATCTTCCCATACTTCTCTGTATTCATCATATTTGTCGTTTCTTAGAGTGTAGTAATATTGCATTACATTCCTGTTCTACCATTTGTTTATCTATTCGCCAATCAATGGACACCCTCTCAGTGAACATAGGCATATAATAGACTATGTCACTGAAAGGAGAAGAGACAGACAGGATGTGAGAGTGATAAAGGTGATGTGAGGTACAGAGTGCTAGACCAATCATATACATCCTCTTCAAACTAAACATTCACATTCAACAAAAGTGGCAGCCTCAAGCTTTGATGATTATTAGAAGACTCATTGTCAACAAATTAAAGCTCTTCTCTGTGTGTGAACAATTTATAACTGACTTGAAAGTAAAGTTGAGACAACACACTGTGGGTAACAGTGGATCAGAAAAAAAAGTGAGCAACTTTCAGAGATTTAGTATAGAACACCATATTTACTCGTCTGGGCCAGAACCCATCAGGATTGGTTTGCTGAAAATGAAGGGGAAATTCAGAAGCTACTAAATGAAAAATGAGTACTCTACAGAGTCATAGGCAAGATATAGTTCATCGATGTCTAAAAAAGGCAGTGTTTAAGTCCATCAAAAGTAAAGTGCACACAAAGCTTAGAGAGATGCAGGATTCTTGGCTCAGTAAGAAGGCAGACAAAATTCAGTTTTATGCTGATAGTAACAATTCAAAATATTTTTATAATGCCCTGAAGAATATTTTTTGGGCCAGAGACCTTTAGTGCATCTCTACACAGTGTTGGTAGAGCCACACCCATCAATGATTAAGGACATGATCCTGGAGTGATGGGCTGAATACTTCCATAGTGTTCTCAACAGACCATCATCAACCAATGCTGACAACACTGACTATTTACCTCAGGTTGAAGTTAATCCCTCACTAATTAAACTTCCAACTGAAGAAGAATGGCTTTGAGTGCCATTAGGCTCCTCTTGTGTGGCAAACCACCTGGGCCTGCTTTCACTCCAGCAGAGATTTACAAGGCAAAGGGTCCACTGCTCATACAAAAGTTGATGGAAATCTGGATTATATGGCAAAAGAAGGTTATCCCCCAGGAGTTCAAGGATGTCTTCATTTTCCTTCTCAATAAAGGAAATAGGTTGTCCTGTGACAGCCACAAGGAGGTCTCTCTCTTGGTCATTGCTGACAAGATTCTTGCCAGAGTCCTCTTTAATAGGCTGATCCTTCACCTGGAAGATGGTCATCTACTTGAGAGCCAGTGTGGCTTCAGAAAGGGTGAAGGAATGTTTAACATGGTGCTTGCTGCCCAACAACTCCAGGGGAAATACAAGGATCAGGAAAGAGGTCTGTACACAATATTTGTTGATCAAATCAATGCTTTTGATATTACTAGTCATGAGGTTGTGTGGAAGATCATGGTGATATTTGGTTACCTGAAAAAGTTCATCACTATTGTTATGCCAGTTTCA